ACAAATATCAGATCAATATCAAGATATACCACACATACAAATATCAGATCAATATCAAGATATACCACACATACAAATATCAGATCAATATCAAGATATACCACACATACAAATATCCTCTCTAAAAATCTGTGTTTGAATACTTATAAATTTAGCCTAGTGTGTGAACCAAGTCAACAGTACTAGTATAAAGTTACCAGAGGCCTATACTTGGAAAATATTGGTTTACACTGTAAACATGATTAAATATTAAAATACAATCTATCATACCCGCTGTGGCATTAGCCTGTTTATAAAGTACACACAATGATCAACAATAGCTAGAGACTAGAGATTTTTTATTTTTTAAATAGATCCTTTTAACTTTAAGGACCTTATGAAATAACAATTACCTTCAGTGTAGTTGTAAGTTGGGCTAAAATCGTAACATTTTGTTTCATTCTAATCATGTCACAACTGACAGTCATAGAAAGATAGGCCTTAAAGTAGAAAAGTTTTCAGCTTTCTAGTGACCTGAGATCCCAAACCTAGAAAGTCCTACACTATCATTACAACTAATCTGCTCTTAATCCTGCTCAAATAAAACTAGGTTTATCATTGTGTCAACAATGTCATTATCATAGTGTCAACATTGTCATTGAACCTTTTTTAGCGCAATTTCCATTCTGGAGAATTGCGTTTATTAACCCGTCATTTCTGGATGTATGAATGAATGGATGGATGGATGGATGGATGGATGTGTGTCCGCAGCTTTAAGTCGTATCTCCTCCTCAACGAAGCAATATCGATGACTAGTTCCAAAAGCAATTATGTTAAGCAAGTTACGAGGATGAACATAGGCCATAAAAATTCCGGGTTTCTTTCATGTATTTCCCGGAAAAGCCAAAAAACCTCGGAAAAAAGCCGTTTTTTGCCCATATCTCGGCAACCAGACCACTTAGCGACTTGAAACATGTACCAATCGATTCCTGCCATAATTTAGAACAATATTGCCGAAGAAAGTTTTCAGAAATATCCTTTCGTTCGGTCACAAAAAAATTTTTGAATTAATTAAAATTTGGACCGAATTAGTAGGCATATTTTTCCAACCACACCACACGCGTCATCACGTTCAATAGCTGCGCCATCACGTTCAATGGGCGCGTCATCACGTTCAGTAGGCGCGCAATGGTTTTTAGTCATGTAACTCTATTGTAAATAAAACATGTAAAATACTGAAAAAAAAATTAATAAAAAACGTTTTAATAACTAACCAATGGTTTTACTAACCCTGCTCTTGATTTACGCTACGACAGAGCTATTTTTAGATAACACAAGGAAATTGCGCTAAAATTGTCACTAGACTTTTTTTAATTACTTGTTTTCTATTTGATGTGAGTTAAAAATTCCACAACCTCAAAAAGTGGTAAATGTTTTTGGTTTTATACTCTAAAGTAACCATTCCTCCTTTTTTGACTTTTAATTATTAGACTTAAAAGGAAGCAGTTGTTATATTTTATTTGCTAAAGTATTTACAATACATAAAATATTTTCAACTGTTAAAAGCAAACACCTAAATCAAATAACATGTATAGCTTTGATAGAGAAAATATCTTTAAACCATCAAAATGATATGAGCCTATCATAACTTTGTGCTGAATAAGAATTCACTTGAACCTTACGCACTTCCAAATGCTGGATAAATAAACATTAGAACAACGTTTTTTTATCAATTTCCTCAACAATATTTTAAGAATGTATTCTTTGCAGCAGTTGCTGATACAGTTGCACACTACCCACATATCAAACTGTGGTAATCTCCCCTAAATATTCATTCTTAACTTAATCATGGAAAATGAAGAAAAAAGTGTGGCCATTTTTATCTCAACCCACACCTCAAGTCAGATACCCATTAGAGTTGGATAGACTCAGCGTCATCTAATGAACAGAGCTACTTCTTTCAGGCCCCCTCCCCCCCTGGAATTTATACATAAAATATATACTTTTGTCAGTGCCGGCCTGCTTCCCCCGCCCCCACTGAGTAAAATATCTGGGAAAAAACAGTAACAACAAATTCATACAAGTGAATTGAATTTGATTATTTTCACTCAGTAGCTGGCTACTGCCGGTGTACACAGTCTACTATTACTCTATTTTTAAAGAGTTGTCCATAAATGACTCACACTTTTTACTCATGTAAGATGAGTCAGCACCCTCCTCCTAAAATAATGTCAAACTCAAGCCTTTAGAACCACTAATTGCATATTTTTTTCTAAACAGTAATCTCTTGTTAAAATATTAAGGGCTCTTGAGTCAAGATGGGATATATTGATCCATTTTTTTACAAAAAAAAAAAAAGCTGTAACTTAGATATAAAAAAAAGTTTAAAAAATACTAATATGTGAAACCATATTTTCAACCACCCCCTTCCCCCCTCTTTCAACCCTTCACCAACTATTTTCACTAATGTTTAAACCTAGTGATTCCTATGAGTGTGATGTCATTTACTGAAGGCTCCAAAAAAATTATTGACTTATTATTATTTCCAATTTCTATCTAACCCTAAATCAACTCCAATCCCTATTGCACCTAAGTTAAGGCCCTTGGCCAATATGCACTTCATCTAACCCGTAATACGACACTACTTTGGATAGATAAGTCTACTCTCATAATGCATTAAGTAATTAATGCAGAGTGGACCAGCAATCTAACCCAGACTATGCAAAGCAGGTAAGCATAATTTGATCTCAAAACTATCCCCGATCTATTTTTAAGTAGGCTAAACACAGGTTATCTAATCTATGTTAAATTTTAGAACAGTGTCTGAGGTATAAATCTAACACGAACATTCAAGTCTGATACTATCTATGGTTGTGACAGAAACTAACTATATAAACACAATTGTTAATTACCTAAATTCAATTTTTATACTAGATCTAAATATAGTGAATTATAAATGGAATAAGAACCATCTATTCTAATATTTAAAATAATATTTCTCACAATTCAAAGCAGAATATGTAATTTTAAAAATATAAAAATTATGTTTTACAAAAGAGTTTTCTATCAAGCGGTTATGGTATTGCATGAATAGAAAGCAAATTAAATGTTACACTTAAAAATGTAGGCTTTTGTGAGAGCTAAGTTAATCAGGTAATCCATCTTTGGCTTGCCAGGATTTATAGCTTTATTATAGTAAGCTTATCAGATCTGATCAAGCCCTGCAGGGGGGAGGGTAAAAATGTCATCAGTTGGGGGATATAACAATGTATTCACTATAAAGTTGGCCAGGAACATTATGCTTGAAAATGTAACTGCTACCATCAGAAATAAATAACTGAGTATCAAAAGTTACTAGATTTATTGTCAGTGTACCCCTATGACTGTGTATGATTTTGTACGCTTTTAACAGAAATATGTGATTAGGGCCTAAAGTTCATATATTTTTATCCTTGAGACTGTGATTCTATGAAGAATGTGTTATGTTCAATTAATCTATGATTAAAGCTTTTTTTTATTACTCACATTTAAAACAAGGTGTGTTGAATGATGATTTAAATAGGCATGATACTTAGTTACTAATTGATCTACATCACTTGTGGACTACTTAGTCTTTAGGCTATGGTGTATTATCGGGCAATATTAAAAGGAGTTATTAGTAATTAACATGCCTGTTAGGCTTTGAAAAATGACTTGAATAATGTGTATCTAAGTAAAGAAGACTAACTTGCCAGAAAAAAATTTAATTATTTTGCTTAAAACAAAGTTTCTAGATTCTTACAATTTTTTAGTTAATAAATATATCAATATCATTTAGTTTGAAATTATTCAACTTTGGTTGACGATTTAAAGTTGATGATTAAAAAATTTCAAACCTAATCATTTTTATCCAAAACTACAAATACTACTAGATCTAGACCTAATTGGATCTAATTACTAATACTAGTTGTTGGATCTAGAAGTAGGCTACCGCAGTAGGCCTGCATAATTGACCTTAAATTTTTATTTAGGCCTTAGACTAGACTTACGACATTTAATTAATTAAATATTAAGATTAGGGTCTATTATGTGTTATAATTTATTACAAAAAAAAAATTAGGCTTAATTATAAAAGAATGGGACAGCTTGGACTGGGAGAGGTATACTGCTAACCCGAGAGTCGAGTTCAAATCCGGGTTTAAATCAGTACAACAACCGTGTCCACCCAGCCTCGATGGGTACCTAACTCATTGTTAAGGAAAGTAAAGGTGGCTGGGCAAAGTGCTGACCACACATTCCCTTCATATGCCAAGTCGAGAAACACATTAACTCTACTTCATCTGCCCAAAGGATCTCTAGGATTTTTAACTTTTTTTTATAGACCTAAATTTCAACTTGATCTAAATCTAGATTGAAATCTAGATTCTTGTCTAGTCTAGCCTCAGTCTGTGTTCATGTTTTACAATATGAAGCGGAAAATAAATATTCGATACAAGTAAACTAACACTTAACACTACTTAACAGTTAACAGTAGTTTAAATGTTCAAGTTCATTAAAAAAAAAATTTAAATGATTGGCTTACTCAACAATGAAGAACAAGTCGAATGTCAGTGTCAACACTTAAACAGTTAAATTACATCAACTTGGTCTCAAATTTTTTTTAAAAAAAGCAACTCTAGATCTAGATCTCTAGAGTCTAGATAGTAGAAAGACAGTTGACAGTAGTTACAGTAGGCCTTAAAATAAATTAAAATATAGATCTAAATCTAAATAGGCCTATAATTAAATAGTACTTAAATAAGTTAAGAAAGTAGATCTAGAACTAGAAGTAGGCTAAATTAAAAAATTATAGTTTATAGTTATTAATATTAGATTAGTTAGAGCCTATCCTATGTGTATGTCAGTGTGTATGTTATAAAGTTTATAAACTAAAAACTAAAAAATAGTAAAAAAGGGTCAAAAGACAGCTGATACTGATGGAAGAAGAGGAAGTAAGTAACAGTAAAATTTCCAAAGATCACCTTGAGTAAAATTGTACTCACCGTATGGGGTAAAATATCCAAAGTGTCAGTGAAATACGGGCCATAGATGCTTCGTCTCGAACTAAATCTAGCCGTTAAATGTCCTCGTGATACAGACAGATCCGCCTCGGCCCGTTCGCCATTGTTTACTTTCTCGCGATTGTCCTCGGTAGAGAAGTCTTTCGCACCGTTAATTTCGGATCGATGCTGGGTATCGATTCTCAATCTCCGTCTTTATATAATATAGGCCTAGTAATTAACCGACATGTTTTTATTTATTTTAAATAAAGTTGTTGTTTTGTTATTGTTTTAAATAAATTTGAAATAATTTAAGAAAATGGTTTGTACGGATGAAAGATGAATACTTAATAAGAAAAGTTACACGAAATGGAGGGTATCGAACTCTAAAATATCAAGCATGTGGTTTTGGTTCATGCGTTACGTCTGTCAGCTCGTCAGTCTGACAGTGACACTACTAGAGTTTCTTCCAGGCATCTCTTCGGGGGAGTACGCCCCCCCCCCCAAAGAAAGTCTACCCCCCCCCAACGAAATGGAATTTATATATAAAATATATACTTTGAACAGTGTCCGCCCCACCCCCCGGAAATTTGAGTTCTCCCCCCCCCCCCCCCAAAAAAATTTCAAGTGCACCCCTGGAGAAAAAAGTCTGGAAGAAACACTGGACACTACTGTGACTGATGGAACTTTAGATGTTTTTGTTCCTACCCATCGGCGCCCTAGTTGGTTTTGCTCAAAGCCACCTCCACCGCATGCAAGTTCAGTGCTACTTTCAGGCAGATGAGTAGCTAGGGGAAGGTGAGTATGGCGGCTGTCTGGAGTGTCTAATCCTAATGGGGAGGGGGAGGGGGCGTCAACCTTAATGAATGAGGGGGAATCGCCAAACGAGCAGGGAAAACAATAAAAACTCAACCTGAGCTGCATTTATGAATTATACACAGTCTATATTAAGAAAATAGACTACTACTTGACTTTAAAGACTAATTGTGTGATTTCTACATCAATTGTATGACTGTTACTTGATAGTGATAAGTAGCCTACAATGCGCACCCAACCTTTCCAAATTAAAGAGGGGATGGGGGCGCTTTTTCTCCAACTTGTTAAACAATATAAAAATTGAGAGAGTGTCGGGAGAGCAAAGTTGATAGGTCGCTGGGCCTCAGCTTTCGGGCACCGTGGGGGGGGGGGGGGTCTTGAAACTTCGGGGGGGGGGGGATGGGGACTGGTTAGTCTACATAGTTTTTATATCAATTTTACATTAATTATATTTCGACCTGTGAGATTGGGGACGTAGTCTGAGGTCGTCGACACCACACACTGCTAAAATATTTGTTATAAAATGTGATTAGTGGTTTGCGAACTGTAATAGATAACTACCTGCTCTTTCATGAAACCAACCATCCGTGATTAACAGTTTACAGCCGACAGCTAGTCGATCGAGCAATCGTTTATACAAATATAATTATCTCCCTTTTGTTTATTAATAATCTTTAAATTAATTTTTTAAATTACGAATTGTGTGACCAGAGTTTCATCAACGCATCTCTTCGGGGGGGGGGGGGGGGCGAAGAGCCGCCCCCCCCCCCCCCCCCCCCCCCCGAAGAAAGTCTAACCCCCCCCCCCCCATACGAAATGGAATTTACCTAGAAAATATATACTTTTAACAATGTCCGCGGCTCCACCGGAAATTTTTAGTCCGCCCCCCCCCCCCCCCCCCGAAAATTTCAAGTGTCCTCTCCCCCCCCCCCCCCCCGGAGAAAAAAGTCTGGAAGAGTCACTGCACCTCCCCGTTCCCTTAAATATAACTATTCTCGTAGCTGCCCTAACCGCCCTCCATTCTTACGTCTCTAAGGAGGGGGATAGTTTTAGATTGCTTCACACACATATGGAACTCGTCCTGGAAAATAATAGGCCTACCTTGATTACTCTTGGACATTAATAATTAAAACCCTGTACCTTATACATGAAATACTGTAACCAAAAAGCTAGGTCACAAAACAGGTGAACTCTACTTCGCCTGCCACATGGCCTATTTTACTCCGTTAAAATGAACAGTTTCGTTTTTTTTATGTAGAGCACCGTTTAGATAAAGGAAGGAAAAAAAATGGATTAATCCAAATTAAAGGGAGACAATAAACACATTTTAAAAAATTAAACAAGTTTTCTCCCCTTTTTCCAGTTTGCAAACATTGCCCCTAGACTTGTTTTATCTAATCCATCAAAATATATCCTAACTTTTTAAGGACACACTATACGCCATTTATATATTTTTAAAAAAGCACAAGATTTCATTTAATCCACGATAAAAATAGCTGCAACTATCATTACGTTAACAAAAACATTGATTTAAAAGCTGTCTGAGTAATCAAATTTCATTGGCCGAGGCAAACAAGAGATCAAATTTCTAATTTGCGTTAACATTTTTTTAACAAAGATTAATGTCAAAGACTCAAGTCTCTCTTACAGCTTAAGGCTATTGTGTTTGTATGTGATATTATTTACGGCAGATCATTATTTTAAAAAATTTAAGATCTAGATTGAATTTAGTGTGATAGGATGCAGTGGCATAGGCTAGATTGTGGAATGGGGTGTTAGAAATTTTAGTCATAAAATCAACATTACATTCTTAAAACAGTTATATATATATATATATATATATATATATAGGCCTCTATATATTTCTAAAAATATAGGCTGTACAAGTTTTTCAGACACACTCTTATATACCACTTCCCCCCCCCCTCTGTATTGTATGGGAGCAGGCTATTACCCCCTGGAGCAATTACCCCCCACCACCCAGTTAGGGTTAAGGTTCTTCTGGATGGGGGGGGGGGGTAATTAACCTTGGGGGGTTGTGGGCATAATGTCCTAGACAAGTATTGCACAACATATGCTTGATCCGAAATGGAACGATGTAGTAGGCCGCTGGTTATAAATTATTCCAATTAAACTATACAATAAAAGCAAAGTCTCCGAACAATGCAGTAGGCAGCTATTTATAAATCATTCTAAACTATACAATAAAAACAAAGTCTCATTCATTAGTACCTCCTTAATTTTATTTCTTTAAAACAGATGTAAAAATAAAACAATCAACATAAATAAAGCCTAAAACTTTTTTTTTTCATAACTTGTTTGAAGAAATAAAATTAAATCAATACATAAAAATCTTCAGTGGTTAAAATAACACTACTTTCAATGGCATCTTCTCTCTTGTAAACATAAAGTGATCCTCTAATTTGATAACTGAACCCATTACTATTAAAATACTAAAAGAAACTAAGTATGTTTTTATTCACTTAATAACTTTTTGGTTTTAATAGTTATTGAAATAAAAAACAATATTTTGAGAAATCCAAATTTTATTTTTTTATTGCAAATAATATAAAAAACTAACTTTAGGGGCTTCACATATTTATAGTTATCAGAAATACTCTATGTGAACTAAAGTATTAAATTTAGAACTGCATGGAAAAATTATTCTGTTAAAACATAAACTCTGCTGAATATCACCAACAAAAATATTTACATGAAGTGTATTGCACAGAAATATAGTTCTTTTCGCTTTACCTTTTAGAGCCAATAAAAGTGTGAACTTCAGGGATTGGATACAGCCATGATTTTCAAAGATACAACAGAAATATCTCTGTAATTAAAACTGTCGACACCATGTTAATAAAAATTGGTTTTTAAGTTCTCTATATTCGCAAAATGCGTTGTCCATTTTTGTTTCAAAGCATAAATTAAATTATTTCAATTTAAGTTAAGGCCTTTCCAGCTGCTTATAAGTATGAGTTTAATTACTATCCCTTGTCACCAAAATGATATAAATCAAACATCATTCTAGCTGAGAAGATACCATAAGAATACTTTTATACCTTGGTTACTTGCATGCTATAGTTTTCTGACTATAGGAACTCTCTTTACAGCATGATTGTTTATATACTTAATATAGAATCAACCTAATGAAACTATTTTCTTACATGATTCTTTATATCTATATATATAATTCTCTTCTGGGAGACGCTAGAAAACAAGCTGTAAACGCGCTCCCTACCTGCCCACCCCTACATGGTTTAAGTGAGCTGTGTTCACTCTAAATGTTTACAAACAGAGCCGGGTTAGGTGACGACTATTAGGAGCAGATAATTTAGTTTAAAACGATTTTAAACGTAGGGGGGAGGGGTGAAGGAAAGGGGGGGGTTATGGTCCTTAACGAGCTACTAATAGTGTTTTAAAGAAATATTTTCAGTGGCAGCGTTGGTACTGTCGAATTCACAAATTATGAATTACTGAAAAGTAGAAAAAACAACAACTAACTAGCGGCGTATGTTATGCCGCGGGCCGGCTCGTATTTAATATAGGTTCAGCCTGTTGGGACTACATAGATTCTGATCTGTTGAATTATTTTCTTACACTTTGTTTATAAATATGTAATATGTTCTGATAATTGGGACTATGTTCTTCATCTTATTTAGAAAGAGCCTCTGCCAATGGTAACATTTTCCTTACACTTTACATGTGTGTAATAGAATCCAGGGACATTTAGAGAAAGCTCTGGAATGGGCATACATACATGTTAACAAATAGATACATTTAAAAAAAAAAATTTAAATTCAGAAATAATCCTGAAAGTAATACAAATTAACGTTTATCTGGGTATCTAAATAACAGATCAAAGGAAGTTATCATTAACTGTGGCAGACGATTTTCAGTAAACAAGTTATGTGTATATTATGCAACATGTTGAGGGATGGGCATACAATAAAACTGTACAGATATGTGAAGATATTGTGCAACATGTCTGGTTTATATACAAATGTGTACACACACACACTCTGTATATTACATACGGCAACAAAAGTATCAGATCAACCCTGGCTTGCACACATGAAAGTACAATGGATGAACAATAAATAACAGCAATGTTTTATGGTTAAAGTACAACTTAACAGTAAATTACTTCAAACTATTTCAACTAGTTTCTACAGATTCAATATCTCACTTGTACATTTTATTACCCATGTCTTTTTCACTTGTTATTCTATTTGAAGAAGATAAATCAACATGCATCTATATTCAACTAAAAGAATGATATGCAGTAATACTGATATGTGAATTTCATTAATCAATATTAAAAGTATGTGCATCATTTGTATGTGTGAATATATATGTGTGTAAATATATTTATTTATTAACTTCTAAACCATTAGCCTTTCTCTGCCCAATCTAAACAAACAACGAGATTTCATTTCATAGTTCACAGCCCAGACTTAAGATACCCATCAAGATAAAAATACTAAACAAAGATTTCAACCAACAATGTTTGAGTATCTCAGGTTAAGAATGTGGACGAAGAAGTCTTTTTACAAATGTACAGGAAATAATAGCTAGGAGTTTAATTTAATACAGGATTAACCTAAGCTCAGGTCAGGTATTTGCCCAAGTTGTTAACCTAGAGTAACAAAATACATTCAACTGCATAGCAGAATTTTCACCAACATAAGACTATTTATTACTTTTGAAAAGTACATAAAACTTACCTAAAAATGATTGAAATAGATTTTAGTACTTATTTTCAAAGTAAACATGTCAGTGCAAATAGCTGTCTTTAGAATAGAGGATAACCATTTTGAATTTAAAATATAAAAGTACTTATGCAAACATATTAATGAGATATAATATAATGAGTAGCAATGAATAAATTTTTAATACTTAGCATTGTAAGAAAGATTTTAATAAACGTCAAGCAAAAAATTCAGAATCAACAATTTTCAGGAGCTTAAAAAAAAAAACATTGTACTCTCACAGTCTGAAACTGTTGTGTGGTCTTCTGAGCTTAAGACTTGTTAAGTTAAAATATTGAGCACTCATGACAAGAAAAAAAAAATTGTAATAATAGTTAAAAAGGATTGTTTTTGCTGATTCAATAGGCTGCCTATTATTACTGACAAAATGAATTGAAATGGCACATTATAAAAGCTGAAGAAGCCTCATCTTATAAATAAAAGCAAAATATACTAGAATAGTATCAAGAAAAGCCAACAAAAAATTAACAAAACATTCCGTAGGATAGAAAACGTCTTAGTGGGCTAATAGACTATGTAACAGGAACTCCAGCCATACAATACCCTAAATACCCTGACATAAGTTAGAGGAACTTATCAAAACTGGATGAATTCAACAATACACTCCAGGCAAAAAAACAACTATCACAGGGATTTAAAACTTAAAATTAGCAAAAAATGAATTCACTGCACCAAACATGTGCTACATTGATTTCTTAGAGTGAAGTCATTTCTATACCCAGCAATAATTATGTCTCAACATCAGATCATGAAAGTTACACTTAGCAGTATAAAATTTAAACTGATGCAGGAAAGCACAGTGCAAACAACATAACAAAGTAATACATTCAGAGGCAGAATCCAACTGTCGTATCATCCTCAGATTTCTTATTTTCCTTAAAAGTCCACCTACCAGAGTTCAGAATCACCAACCATACTTATATTCCTCCCATACATATAAAGTAAAATTTCCCTTACAAACCTGACGGTCTATGGGGCAAGTGAAGTAGAGTTCACTTGTTTCTGTGACCTCGGCATATGAAGAGAGTGTGATTGGCACTATGCCCAGCCGCCTTTACTTTCCCTAACATCAGTTAGGTACCCATCAGAGTTGGGTGGACTCAGGGACGGTCTATTGACTTCAACCCGGATTCGAACTCGAGACTTACGGGTTAGCAGTCCAGCTCTCAACTGCTAGACCACTCCGTTCATACATATAAAACTGAGATATATATACAGACGCAGGCCATTATCATGAGACCAGGACCTGATCACTATCAGCTTCATCATCCTCATCACCTGACATCTCCACCTTGAACACTTTGGAGTTGTCGTCCATCTCACAGCCGTCATCCTCATCTTCCACATCCTCCTCCTCCTCGCCCCCATCCATATTACCATCCATGTCAAGGCCTAGTGGACAGAAATTATACAAAGTATTTTATTTTAATGGTTATTTGCAAGTCAGTAGAGCAATTTTGGTTTTAAATAGTATTAATATTGTAAAAAAAAAATTAGCTTCGAAATGTGAACTATTTATGTTCCAATAAACAAAACCTAAAATTACAATGAGACAATTAATAAAATGTAACAATTAATAAAATGTAACAATTAATAAAATGTAACAATTAATAAAATGTAACAATTAATAAAATGTAACAATTAATAAAATGTAACAATTAATAAAATGTAACAATTAATAAAATGTAACAATTAATAAAATGTAACAAAAGGAAGGAATCTAGATTTTTTCATTCAAAAGTTGTAAACAAAAATAAAATAAAAATGTATAACACTTATAATTTTAACTAATTTAAATGACAGAATCATCTACTATCAGGATTGGAAAAAAAATGACAATTCAAATACTCTAACAAACTGGAAAAAGTGATAATAAATTAAAATATTAAAGTGAACAAATGCTCATATACCAGGACTGGAAATAGTGACAATAAATTTAAATAATCAAACAAACAGGAAAAATTGACAAAGTCTACCTTCAGTGCTGGAGACAGTATCTCCCAACTGGCGCTTGCCATTATGAGTTTTGATGTGTTTTGTCAGGTGGTCACTTCTCATAAATCTCTTGTTGCACTCTGGACACTGGAACTTTTTCTCTCCTGTTTCATTCAAAGGTGTAAGTAAATTTATGCAAATTACTTTTTTGTACTTCAGCTACAATAGCATCCTTCAACATTCTATAGACTATACATGTGATTTAGATAAAGATTACAGACAGAAATGGAAACACTCATTTTTTCCAATTACCTCAGCACAGAATTGTCTAATTTAAATTTTCCCCATTACATGAAAGTTTATATTTTAAATTGTAATATGTAGATTACAATTGTAATACAATATACATTACAAGTATGTAAACAAAGCTGTCACAAAACACAATAATTTAAAACATGATTAGCTCCCTTAGAATTACTAATTTCAAAATCTACACACAAATACATTGCTATCACAAAGTATTTCCACACACCTGTATGAGTGCGTTTATGCCTCTGTAATTCATCAGATCGTGTAAAGCGTTTTCCACAGAACAGCCAGCTACACACAAAGGGCCGATCTCCTGAGTGCCATCTGTAGACAAGACAATAAGAGATTTACATGTAGCACCATTACAATAAAAACTACGTTTTGACAAACATTTGTTCTAGCCAGCAAATAAGGAGCATTTACTATTTACACTACTTTGTTAATAATAAGCTAAATAATGCAACAAAAAAAATAACCGAACATTGTTTCAAGTGTATAGAAAAATATTTTAACATATTGTGGAGAATAAGAGGGAGGGTTAGAGAGCGAACATTATGGAAACTTTTGTCTAATAGTAGTTACACAACTAGGCCTACTATAACTTAATTAACTATATTAATAATTACCAATTATTTAACCAACATAATGAATACATAAACTTAAAAAATATTTTTATACCTTAAGTGAGCACGAAGATGTGATGTTTTCCCGTAGACTTTGCCACAACCTTCTATGTGACATATGTGCTGCTTCTTCTTACTTTCACCTACATGCCTTTATAAAAATAACACAGATAAATATCATGTGTAGACCTGCTTGGGTTAAACTTATATAAAACACAATGATAATGATACTTTGACTGAACTTAAATTTTAAAAAGATCAATAACCAAAGATTTGTAATTTTTAAAAATTGAACTATGTAGTTCAGTAATAGATGCTAGCCCAAATTTCCAGAGCTAGAATTTCAGCTTTAGGGTGTACCAGAGTCCACCCAACTCTGAAGGGTACCTGACTCAGGTCAGTAAAGGATGCTAGGCATAAAAAAGACCACGCTATCCCATTATAATCTGAGGACACAGAAATAGGTGAACTCTACTTCATCTGCCGATTGACAGCCAAGTCAGGGTAACATACTATTAATAATAATATACGAGCCGGCCCGCGGCATAACATACGGCGCTATTTAGTTGTTTTATTTTCTACTTTTCAGTAATTCAAAATTTGTGAATTCGACAGCACCAACGCTGCCACTGAAAATATTTCTTTAAAACACTATAAGTAGCTCGTTAAGGACCATAACCCCCCCCCCCCTTCGATTAAAATTGTTGGCTCTGCTTGTAAACATTTAGAGTGAACACAGCTCACTAAAACCATGTAGGGGTGGGGAGGTAGGGAGTGCGTTTACAGCTTGTTTTCTAGCGGCTCCCAGAAGAGAATTATATATATAGATAATAATATATGAATACAAAGAGCTTTATGAGCTTACTTGTCGGACGAGACACAGTTGGGGCATGTGCACGCCACCCTGCGCACCCTTCTGCCAGTTTGTGTTGAGTCAGAACAGGAGCCGCCGGTGCTTGTGGGTGAGCCAACTGACAGGGTGGCACTTGAGCTGACAGCTGGTTGTGCCTGCGGTTGGTTGCTGACCAGCTGCCACTTGGTGGGGTCATTGGGGTCCTGCTGAAGCTGGGCTGAAAATGGGTTGTTTGGTTTGCCATAATGTTCTACATGTGGTTTTGTTTGGGGCAATCAGGTATAACTAAAATACAATACAATGCTTTAAGTAAAGGAGAGATTTAATCATAGGTAACTAAGAAAATATAAACAATGAAACTAAAAGACATCAGAAGAAAAAGAATGTCAAAACAAATACAGAAATTCCAATGGAATAAAAAAATTAAAATTGCTTATAATATTATGTTCCACTCATTATATATATATATATATATATATATATATATATATATATATATATATATATATATATATATATATATATATATATAGGCTACATATATATACATATATAAATACTTTGCATAAAACATTTTTTGCAAACCCTCCGAGTGGTAAAACTTAAGGCTGATTTTTCCCGTTGAAAATATTATTATTATAATAATGAAAGTGTTAGACTCTAAACGTTACTACAAAAAATATATTTTTATTTTATGTCAATTTTCCTATAAGACCATTTAATGGCTTATAACAACAAAGGTTTTTATTTTATTTTCATTGTTATTTTAACAAATTGCAAAATTTTAATGTCACTATTTTAGTTTTTATAGCAATTATTAGCCAACCATGCTTATCCTTTCAGTAGTCCAGAATAATGATATTTGCTCTGAACCTGATCAGTAGCTTGCAATAAATTAAATTATCTTCCTTCATTAGCTTTCTCGTCCCTAAATTTTACATCCCTATTTGTTACTGTACCAAGTAAACTTGAAATTAATTCCTTATGACTATGGTAATATTAAATTTGATTTCGTTGCGTTAAGAAAACTGCCACATCAAAAATGAGTTACAAGGTTTTACTTCATTACAAGATTAATTATTCTACCAGAAAAAAAGTGTAAAATATAAATAGACTTATCTGAGACTCGCAGCAAAAATTAAAATAGAATTAAACCCTGCTTATGACATGGATCACAGCAAAGGTAAAGTAAATCTTAGCCTTACTTATGACCCCCCTGTTGGTTACTTATGACACGGCTCACATCAAAAGGTCAAGTAAATCTAAGCCTTACTTATGACCCCCTGTTGGTTGCTTATGACACAGCTCACAGCAAAAGGTAAAGTAAATCTATGCCTTACTTATGACCCCCTGTTGGTTTACAGTTGCTGTCTGGACTGTGTTTTGTTGAGTCTGGATGGGTATGGCACTGATAGTTCCACCTTGTGTTCCAATGGCTACAGCTCCTAAATTAGACATGGCTGCATTGTTGATTATCTGCCCTTGCTGCGTCAATGCCTGAATACAGAAGGAACATAGTTAAATTAATGGTATTTTAGTTAACTGAGCCCAATTAATAGCATTAAATTAGAGTTCAACTTGTAAAATGAGAATTAATGTAACATTTATGTAATAATACCATACAGCTTTAAATATTTTAAACCTTAGGCCTATATGGTATTTGGTACACATGAAATGAAGAACAATTATTTTTGTGAAATTAAGTTAAAGCTGCACATTATAAGTTTATTTAACCAGCAAAATGCTAGTTTTCCTCAAACTGGCATTGTCAGACTTTAATTGGCCCCACTAAATGAAAGCTATTATCGCTTTCATTACAAGTGTTAAGTCATAAAAACACAATGTCTTAAATTACTTATAATCATGATATAGCGCAGGGGTTCCCAACCCCGTGCCCGCGGGCGCCATGGCGCCCCCGAACGATTCGTATGTGCCCGCCTCTCACTATTCGACAGAGACAGAATTTTTTTCATAAACGTTAAAGGTTGAAGGGGATGGAAATCAAAAGTTTGAGGGGGGGGTGCAAATCGAAAATTTGAGAGGAGGGGTGCAAATCAAAAAATTGAGGGGGGGGGTGCAAATAAAAAATTTGAGGGGGTGCAAATCGAAAATTTGAGGGGGGGGGGGGGTGCAAATCAAAAGTTTTGTCCCCGGGTGACGGCGGGAAGGGTCGCTACGCCTCTGAAAGGAGTTTGTCGATTTAAAATAGGTGGTGCCCGCCACCCTACTGATATTTTAGAATGTGCTCTAGAGTAAAAAAAGGTTGGGAACCCCTGATATAGATATATAAGTATATATTTAAGCATGGTTTCTTTCAGACATTTTGCAGGGTAACATTGGCACTTAAAACTCAGGGGGTGAATGGTAAAAATATATATTTGCAATTAAAAATTATTTTAATATTTAGACATGTTGGGGGAGGAGTTTGGACGTCCTCCTAGGAAATGGCTGACATGAAATATTTTTTAACCCCATCCCCCCCCCCCCCCCCCCCATTTATTATATCTTAAAACTTATTAAGTTCTATAGTTCGGTTGACAGTTACAATATATAAGACTTAACAGCATCAAACAAAAAAGTCTCTGGATTATCAATCATAATCATACACATCAAACCTTTAACTTCAACAAAGTATTTTTTTTCATTTTCAATTTGATTTTTTTGTATGTAATTACTTCAACAAATACTAATTTAAGCTACCTGAAGTCCTTGAATGTTTTGCAGATTTTGTAAAGCAGGAAAGGTCTGAATGTTTTGTAAACCTTGAATGTTCTGTAACTGGACAGCCTGTACCCCTTGATTTCTTGGAGCTTGCATGTTCAGGGCCTAATTTATCAATAATATGGAGCAGCATTATATAACAATACAGAAATCATACAACAGTATTTTAACAAACAAACCATAACATTTTTAAAATAGATGTCCAATAGCATTAAAAAACAAAACTTGATTAACGGAAAAATCTTTAAAAAGAATATGTCATTTCTACACGTAGTTATGAAAAATGTACCTCTGTAAAGATAGAATATATATCAATATGACAGCATATTCTAAAGTTATCTTTGCTTACCCCTATTCCAGCAGTTAAACTGCTTATCATGGTTGAATGGACACAAGATATAATTATTATATTCCTTATTATCTGAACCATAATACCTAATACCAGTAGAATAGTATTCATACTTTATATATTTTATGACTCAAACACACAATGGTGATGTAACTGATGTGGATAATTCAATTTAAAAGACACATTAAAAATAAAGAACCCTTATTTGGTTATAATTTAAGACAGTAAAAGTGAGCATTTATCTTGGAGTTTATGCATATCTGTTTTCAATTTTACTTCTAAAATGTAAAAATAATGTTAGTGAGTTTGTTAAAGAAAATTGTCTTACTTGTAACCAGTTGACCTGTCCCTGATTGGTCAACTGGATGCCTCCCAGGTTTTGAGCATTTGCCATTCCCTGAAGCAACTGCTGTTGAGCCAGTACATTTTGAATCATCGCAGCATTTTGTGAACTGGTTGAAGTGGTTGTCGAAACGCCACTAGATACAGTGTTCGCTTGTGGGTACGATGGTACGGTTAGAGTTGGAAGAGATACCTGGGTTTGATTAGCTGGCTGGGATAGAATCACCTGACCCTGAGGGGTGTTTATCACATTTAAAGTCTGAACACCAGCATTGGCGCCTGATAAAGTCATTCCTGTCATTTTGGATGCTTGTGAAGTGTTGGGGTTGTTTAAATGCCCAGTGTTGGATTTTAGTTCAATTTTTTGACTGTTTTGGACATGGTTTTGAGATTCCTCTGCTTGTGCCACAGCCATGGTTTGTTGTTGGTTTTGGGCTTGTGAGGCCATGAAAGTCTGCAGTGATTGGGGGGTGGTGGCAAGAGACATGATTCCATTGCCACCAACTTGGGAAATGTGTGTTTGGATTGGAATGTTTTGGGCTGGAAGCTGAATAGTTTGTAACACAGTCTGGCCATTTATGGACACAGGCACTTGTATGAGATTAGGCATCTGCTGCATGGTTTGAAAACCTGGTATCTGAACTGCTTGTAAAAGGTTTGCATTTGGCCTGACTGCATTTTGCATTCCTCCTAAGCTTATTAAATTTCCCCCAATGTTGATAAAGCCTCCAAGCCCCCCTAACCCGGATACATGTTGGAAAATATTTGCTGCAGGGGCTGCTGTAGGCATGCCCTGAGTTCTAATAATTTGCCCCGTTGGTGTAATCAATGTTTGTTGAGGTGCCTGCATTGTATTTTGATTTTGACCACCAGATGAGGGTAATAGAAAGGCTTCTTGTAAATACGTTTCTTGCCCATCAATATTCACTGCCTGGTATGAAGGCTGAATGACACTGTAAGTTAACTGACCATTAGGTCCTTGTGTAGCCACTATTTGTTGACCTTGAGAGAACAGCTGACCACCTACATTATTTTGCATTGCTGTTTGTTGAATAACATTGGCAGCATTGAGGGGTTTTCCTGACGTATTTACGATGGTTCCATTCGGCAGCTGCACCCAACCTGCTATTGCATCAGTGGTGTTGCCACCTTGCCCCGCCCCAACTACCCTCACATTAGAATCCCCTCCCTGTCCATACCCTTGTTCTTCACTTTGGGCGGGCGATCCTATTTTGCTACAAGTCGCCGCCAGCATAGCAAGGGGTGAGGGTTGAGCGTCCTGCAAGGCGGAGTCAGAAAGGGGTGTAGTTAGAAATGGCGGATATACAAAACAACATAAAATACGATTCGACAACTCAACCGCGGATATTATAAAAAAATTAACATACCTGTGATGAACTAGTAGCAGCTACGTAATCAGAATTTCCTCTGTTACCATTAGCTGTCGCCATAATTTACAAACGAGCACAAAATATTAATTAAATACCATTGCGAACAATCCTACTAAACACACGAGGATAAGGCACAAAGAGTTGTTTTGACCTGGGAAGTGGAGACCCAACCTTCCGCACAGTACACATGTATTCATACACTACATAAAATTACATTTCTATCAAATTTAAACATATTCTCAAATTGAAAATGTTAAAAATCTTTAAGAAATTGTATTTGTGTGTGTTAATATTTTATTTTTAAATAAACATATTCTATAATAGCGGAACTATAGTTTTAAGCGCAATAATTTGTACTATAGTAGTTGCTGCGCATCCGGCCTAGTTTTTCTTTGATTGACAGTTGGAACACCCAGCTGCCACGATCAAAGACCTAGCATTACACGTCCCCTCCCATGCGTCCGTAAAAAAATAACGTGACCCCTGCTGGTCGATATTCCGAGCCGCGCCCATCCGGCGGTGGCAACCACAGATTTTCTAATGTCCATCCCTCGATGGGCGTCTTACTGTGTCATAGGTTTAATGATTTCAATGTTTTACACTCATTTCAAATACTGTAATCGCAATTCAAAATTATATTATGCTTTATCCTATGTATAAAGGCGAAAATATAATTGTATTAATAATAACACGAAATATTGTAATATAGATCTAGGCATATACACAATAGAAGGCGTAGTAGATTTGATTTAGAGAATTTTGGTGATTCATTAGGCCTGCTGTAAGTTGTAAAGAATCTTCTAGATCTATATAGGTCTAGATATATAATAATATAGATTATAGCGGGCAGGAACAGGGGATGGTTTATTATTTCGAGCCGTATTTTATTTTCTTAAGTAGTGAAATTTGTGTAGCTCCGTATTAAATTCTTTATTTTTTTAAATTATTTTTTGGATAGTGCTTAGATTAATGCATTAACAAGGCCCTACATTAATACAAGGTTGACATGGACTTACACATTCTAAATTTAAACCTAAACAGCTTAATTAAAATACTGTTTCTGGTGGCGGTGTAAAGAGTTTTCCCCCCTCACTAAATGCGTGTCGTGATTGGGTGGGGGGAGGAGGCGGATCTAGGAGTGGCTTGGGTGAGGCTTAGCCGCCATCCCTGCTTCGCCAAAAAAAAAAGTGATAGATCCTAGTTGTAATGTATGATACATTTTAAAATATATTTTTCTTGATATTTCTTAAAGAACATGCCTATATATATATATATATATATATATATATATATATATATATATATATATATATATATATATATATATAGGCCTATACAATAAACATGTATATAAAAAAAAGTATATAGGGGGCCCTATACATATGTATTATATATATATATATATATATATATATATATATATATATATATATATATATATATATAATATATATATATATATATGTATATATATATATATATATATATATATATATATATATATATATATATATATGACCTCAGCATATTAAGGGATAAAGAGGTCAGCATTATGCTCTGATGCTTTTTCCCCAATGCGAATCAGGTGCCCATTAGAGCTGAGATGGGGAGGGGGGCATTCGAAACATTCAATACAAATGGTAGCTGCAGTGAGGTGAAACTTTCAAGGGAGGTGGACTAAATTTTCCGGAGGGAGTGGGGGGGGGGGGGGGGGGGGTCGGCGGACACTGGTAAAAGTATATAGTTCTATACAAATTCTATTTCTTTCGGAGTGGATGGGGGAGGGGGGGTCGGGAGAGGGATGCCCCCCCCCCCCCCCCCGAAGAAATGCCTAATTGAAACTCTGCTTTCGGGTCCACTATTCGATCACTCACGCCATGAAACACTAACGAAAATGCAGTCCAAAAGTCCCCCCCCCCCCCATGTATTAGAAAAAATATATATTTACCTGAAATCGATACACATTCTAACACGGGAAGCCTATGGATTCTATAGTATCCGCCGCTCCCCCTCCCTCCCCGGAAAATTTAGTCCGCCCCCTCGAAAATGTCAAAAATCTGAAAGAAACATAAGAAACACTGCGTGACGCCGCCCTTTATCACCCCGACAGTAGTATATCACAGAGAGGAGGAGGGCGGGGACTGAGAATACAAACTGCACTGATTGTGTACGACGCATTAATGACAACTACAGCTAAATCTAAACCCCGACTTTAAAAAAAAAAAAAAACAATACAAAAAAAAAAACAAAGCTTGTCCTGAAATCAATAACGTGTAGGCTATGTCTATTATCGTCCCATATGCCGCTTATAAACTGCTGGAGTCTAGGGCACACGTGAATGTGCTCGTGTTTCGTTATGCAAAAAGTCACATGTAGAGTTTTTTCCTGTTATCTCCTCTGTGGTGGGGGGGGGGGGGGGTCGGAGAGGCTGCCACCCGCCCCCCCCCCCCACCCCCCGAAGCACGAGTACCGACCTGAGACCTCTTCCCTTCCCCGAATGAAATATAATTTATTTAACAAATATATAGGGGCCTACTTCGAACAGTGTTCGACCTCTTCCCCCTCGTAAATTTAATTTCGCCCATTCCCCGAAAGTTTCATGTGACATATCCCCCCCCCCCCCTCCACGGAGAAAAAATCTCTGAAAGAAGCACTGGTCGCAACATATTTACACAATATCAAGACTGATAATTCAAATACATAAAACTCAGACTTGTCATAAAGGTTCTTAGTACTAAAGGCTACTCAGTTATTTGCTCGTTTGTTTTCAGACTTTTCTCTGAGGGGCACTTGAAAATATTTGGAGGCAGACCAATTTTTCCTATGGGGAGGGGGCGGGGATACTGGTAAAAGTATATATTTTCTATAGAACTTCTGTTTCGTTCGGGGGTGGAGTTAAAAGTGCTTCAGAGGGCTAGGGGAGGGGCATTACCGCCCTCCTGAATAGATGCCTAAAAGAAACCCTTATTATACTGAGAGTATATAAGCCCCGAACCTACACACTATTTCAACTCTCATTACATGCGGAGATTTTAATAATAAATTAATTTCTTTTAATTAACAAATAGATAATTTACTAATCTAATTTAAACTATATATATATTTACTATAGCTTTTATACTTTACATTTGTTTACAAGCAAGACAGCGGTAATTCACAACTGAATCCTTTGTTCTTTTGGCTGTAGACTACGACGTGTGTTGTCTACAACAGATGTGTTAGTGTTGTTTGTGTGTGTGTGTGTGTGTGTGCTTAGTAAACGTGTAGCCTATCTGCTATAATAATCGATCACAAGTTTTCGTATACAGACTCAAATTTTAAACGTGGTCTGATAGCATGTAGGATGAATTGATACGTAGGCGCAACATTACATTTCGCCGCCCCCTAATTACAATACATAGGCCAAATCGTGGGTGGGTGTGGGGGCGGTAGCAGTTAGTGGGACCACCTCAAAAGGTTCTGCTCTATATACCCGCGCTTCATTAAAAAAAAACACCAAAAAAAAACACAAAAAAAACAACACAAAAAAACCTAAGTTGTGGTAGAAAAAGTTGATTTAAACAAGGGTCGTCGTGGTCGAGTCAGTAAAGACATGGATGCTAAACCGAAAAGTTCGAACCCTCGGGCAGATGAGACAACTCCAAAATCAAACAACTGCTGCCTTGTAGTTTGTTCTTTGTTCTTGGTTGGAAGCAAATCGGAGTCAATGGCGCTTAACCAGTTGACACGTATCCTTAATTGTGATGGAGGCGTGGTCGAGTCGGCAAAAGCTCATGGTTGATAAATTCGAAAGAAAATCTCAAGTTCAAACCCTCTGGCAGATAAGGCTCGATCCCTTCCAACAATAAAAATTAAGATCGAAGAAGAAGAAGAATTCGTGCATCAGCATCATCATTCCAGTGGACACCTTACAGAGCATGGCGGCGGTACGCGGGTTTTAAACGATTCCTTCAAGTTTGGGTCCATGACATTGCGGCGGGTTTTGTTTCCCTAACAACTGATCTTTTATCTAATTGAAGGAATTAGTACAAACTTTTGCTACGAAGGAGGCAAGTGAAATTTGATTTTGATGTCTACTTATAACGTTCATGCAATTGATAATAAATTAATATGTCTCTTTTAATTAATTGTTTGGTTATATATATATATGTATACGATCGAAATATAATTTATACAGAAACTATATACTTTTACCAGATAAACTCTACTTCATCTTCATTTGTCTTGGGCACGAACGGGAAAAAATTAAATAGCCTACTTTTGCCAGTTTATAGAATCACACTAATAACTGCCCGGAGATGTTGTTTCTTGGTCTACGCAATGTGTAATCGGTCCGTTTCGCCTTGGCATTTCTTGACAAACCAGCCGACCCGCGGCGTACCATACGCCGCTATTTCGTTGTTTTATTTTCAACTTTTCATTAATTCGGAATTTGTGAATTCGACACTACCAATGCTGCTACTGAAAATATTTTGCTTTAAAATATTATCGGTAACTCGTGAAGGACTATAACATCCCCCCTTCCTCTCCCCCCCCCCCCCCCCCCCCGCCCCCACCGTGAAAGCAGCCTCCTCTTGGTTACCTCCCCTAAGTTTCAAATCGTTTAAAAACTAAATTATCTGCCCATAATAGCCGTCACTAATACGACCCGGCTCTACGTTTTAAACATTTGACGTGAACCACAGCTCACCGGACTGGTGGGGGTGGGGGTGGTAGATATATGCTTAGATAGCGGGGGAGTAACGGAGTGCGTTTACGTGGTGTCTTGCATGGTCCCCACGAAGAGAATTATATATAGAAGATAAGGATCTGCCCGTGTTTTCCTGCTAGTTAGGCGTTGGTAATTTTCTCAAGTCACCTGATGCTCAATATACAACACAGGCATCCGTTAACGAAAAACGGAAGTTTGTTGTTCTTAGTTTGGGATATTTTCCACGACTCAAAACCTTACCAGAAAAGATTTATCGTTGCTGTTAAAGAGTGGGAAGCTTAGACAGCGCCATCGACGTGCAGATTTAGCTAAGAGTGACACACCCAGGACCGGATCGTTGGGGTGGGGGGGGGGGGGAGGGGGGCTAAAAATATGTAATATCAAAAAGCACCTAATAATTACTAACTTTGATTATCTTTTATAAACTATAGATGGTATATACAAAGGCGTAGCGATCTGTTTCAGCGCCCAGGGCGAACAATCAATTTTGCACCCCCTACCCCAAATTAGGCCTATATTGGCCTATAGTCAATCGCGTTGATGAAAATGGAAAGGTCAGGGCGCTTTTTACCAGTCACTTTGCCTTTTTATTTTGGTGTCACGCAATTGATGTATAAAACAATTAAATAAGTCCGTAATTTAAATTTCGAACATGTTAACGGATATCTAATTTTAATGTTGATTTAGTGATCAATCAAGCCTATGACAAGGTGTTCCAAAACACGTGAAATTTTGGTTTTTAATAGGGCTTGTAAGTTGTAAGTCTCGTTTTCTCCGACTTTGAATTAGAAATATGTTTTGGTGTGTAGAGTTTTGTAATGACGGGGTTTTCAAAGTATTGTCACTTGTTTGGCAAGTTTTGATGAACCGTTTAGATTCGGGAGTAATGGTGGAAGGCTGTTGCTGATATGGTTTCGTAGGTATAAAGTATCGTAGTGTTTAAGTGTCGTATTTTTTATTTGGCTTTTGTCGTGTAGTACTAGTTGAATCTGATTGGTACCAGAGAAATGGGAATGTAGGTGATGAAGTATCGTAGTTCTGGAGTCTGGGAGTATCGAGCCTTGCGGTATTAAAGTATCGAAGTGTGTTAACTGTTATCGTGTATTCGAAGCCCAGTTAAATCGTTGTTGATTGGGAGTATCGCTTGTAGAGTTTAGTTAAGTTAAGCGAGGTGGTGTCGTAGTTCTGGAGCATCGAGTCTAGTTATGTTTAGGTATCGAAGCTTGACATCTGTTGTGAATGTAGTAGAGTTTGAGTGTATCGAGTAGTCGAGTTTATCGTAAGTTAGATTATTTCAATTCAGGACGGAACACTACAAAGAAAGGTAGGCGTCCTCTAGCTGAAAAATCTTGAGTTTTTTAGGAGTTTATATTACCACTCTTAAAAATATTAATATATGATATTTAATAGGCTAGAAATTATAACTAACCATAAACTTTTTTTTTTCAAAATAAAATTTATATTTAAACAAGATTTAAAGCCATATCATATACATTTGCCCGTGTTTGACTTTTTTACTTTCTCGTATATATACGAAGTATAGAGAAAGTCTTGTAATCGAGCAAAAATTTTAAAAAAATCGAGATTTTTACAAATCTCGACGTTTTACACGTCACTGATACGGAAAAACATAATTTTGCAATCTTGTCCATATGTCTGTGTGTGTATGTGTGTGTGTGTGTGTGTAAACACGATAACTTGAGTACCGTTACAGCTAGGTTGATGAAATTTCATATATAAGTACTTTATCAAAATTGTAGATGCGTATCAACTTTTGAGCGATTTCCGATAACCGGAAGTGGTACTTTTTCTACTTTGAATTTTTCAAAAGCCTATAACTTGAGTACTATTTCAGATAGATAAATGAAATTTCACATGTAAGTAAAATATCTAATTCTCTACCTTCTGTCAAATTTTGAGTAATTTCCGTTGATTGGAAGTAGTAATTTTCACTCTTTCCAATTTCTCAAAAAAAAAAAAACGCATGTGAATTTATAAAGTACTAATAATATTCCGCACTTTTATACACATCTTTATTCGGCGTTCGCTTGGTGTGCAATTCTTTTTTCTATGAGATTCTATTCTATTTTAAAAAGTTTAAGTATTTAAAATTAATTTAAAATCATAACTATGTCCCGAGTTCCCATCCCCTGTTGTTTTATATAAGAATATTCGAGAAAGTTAAGGGAAGATAACTCCTGGTTTATTTTCTAATACTTTTATTTACCATATGGAAAGTCGTCCCTTTATTTTGGGGAGCCAAAATTAATGATTAAATTGTTGTCCACAGATACAGTCAAATTGATGTCATCGTATTTGACTCGAAGTATGTTACAATAAAGCTATTGTGTTTGTACTTTCAAGCAACCTACAGTTAAGTAGTCAATTGGAAAAATATATTGTTTTCACAGGTTACATAATATAACAATTAATTATATTGATAATGTAATGAAATTGTTTTATTGTGTTTTTCAAGCATGTCTTAAAGTATACTTGGTCAATTTAGCTACACTTGTGAAAGTGATTTCCCTTGAAGTAAATTTTGGTATTTCTGATTTGCAAATGGGAGATAATTCGTTGCTAAACTCTACATTCATTTCAAATTCATGCACATTAGTTTGACCGCTTACTTATAAATACAACTTTAAGTTATTATTAGCTATTGTAAAAATTATATAGAGCAGAAGTTCGAAACAAAATAGTTTGGTAGGGTTTTTTTTTAGCATTATCAAGTTGAAATCAAATACATCAGCCACTGTAGCTTGCAATACTTAATATGAGTGCAACTAATGCGATTAAAATCGTCTTAGTCGTAAATTAATCATCTAATTAATTGTCTTTTTCAAATTTTTCACCCTTTGCTACAGGATTCATTTATAACAATTGTAGGCTGGAAACACTAACATTTGTAAACTTTATGTCCTTCAGTAGACTCTTGGACCTAGCAACAATTTAATAGAATGTGATTTTGCTTCCACACTGGAATTGAATTGAAGGAATTAGTACAAACTAGTATTTCTTCCAGACTTTTTTTCTCCGGGGGGGGGGGGGTCACTTGAAATGAATGTGGGGGGGAGGCGGACTAAAATTCCCGGGGAGGGGGCACCTTTCCCCCCCCCCCCCCCTCCCCCAAAGAGATCCCTGGAAAAAAAAGGAATGCAAAAACTTTTGCGACGAAGGAGGCAAGTGAAAATTGATATTGATGTCTACCTATAACGTTTATACAATTGGTAATAAATTAAAATGTCCCTTTTAATTGTTTTATAATTATCCATATGTTTTATTAATTAATTTTAGTGAAAGTCACTGAAAGGGGGCGTTTTAATAAGTTTTGCCTAGGACACACCATTGCCTAGACCTAATCAGAGCTACTTTCAGGTATCTCTTCGGGTGGGGGGACGCTACAAACATGTCTAGCCCCCCCCCCTCCTCCCCCCACCCCCGATTAAAATATAATTTATACAGAAAATATATACTTTAACCGGATGAACTCTACTTCATCTGCCCCATGTGTCTTGGGCACGAATGGGAAAAGATGATATGGCCTACTTTTGCCAGTGTCCACCCCCGGAAAATTGACTCCGCCCTCCCCTCTCCATACACCCCCCCCCCCTCCCCTGGATAAAAGAAGTCTGACAGAAACACTGTCAGAGGTCTGATTAGGCCAAGAAATTTAAAATAATATTTAGCATTTAGCTTTAATGGCACGGTGAATTAAATGAGTAGCTTGGCACAATACTATTATGCGCCAAATTTCCAGTGATGAGCACCGTCTGCCTAAGTTGATCAAATTTCAAACAGAACATACGCGAATATCCACACCAACGCAAACATGCCATAACAATAGAAGTTTATTTACAAAAGATGTCATTTGCAGCGTTTCTTCTGGGGGGGGGGGCGGACACTAGTCAATGTATATGTTTTCTATATAAATTCCATTTTGTTCGAGGGGGCGGAAGAAACTCTGGTCATTACTGTCAAATATCAAGCAGCAAATAAAGGTGAAAATATAAAAAAAAAAAAAAACTCAGCATAGTTTTAGTCGAAACTTTGAAAACTGAAACCAGATATAGAACTGTTTACTTGAGCTTACAAACTACCTCTGTTGCTATTTTCAACTAAATGAAGATCGTAATAGCAAAAATGTTGCATTACCTCGAAAGATGTTTATATCTAGATGTTTGTAAATTGTTTGCTTTAGTTTTGAAAACGAAAATTTCTATATCTTAAAATCTCCTTTAAATGCAAACACGATTTAAAAAAAAAATGTTAGCAGAGCGTGGTTTCGATCCACGGACCTCTGGGTTATGGGCCCAGCACGCTTCCACTGCGCCACTCTGCTGACGACGAAAACGAGCTCTCGAATGATCTATATGTAAAACATGATAATGAATAGACAATAGAATCAGATCTAGATATGTCTCAGTAACTGGAGAATACTGTTTTACCGGAGTTAGGCCTAGCCTAATAACAAATATGTAATCATTATAATCGAGATCTAGTCCTAATTTTTCTAGAATCTAGATCTAAAATCCTGATATCTATATCTATAGCTAGAATCTAGATGTTTTTGACATTTAGTCGCTGCTAATTTTTTATCAACTAGAGCCTAGCCTACGCATACTAGCAGAAGCAGTCTCACTCACAGGAGACCAAGATTAGTCGTTCTTGTGTCACTGCGTGCCGACTGTGTAACCTAGAATTTAGGTCTAGTCTAGTGTGTAGGAACAGATGAATGTACTCTACCGGGTCTACTGGTGTGTACACTTGTCCTTGCATCTTCATTACGTGTCATGTTGTAAACAATCAGCTTTTTTAGATATTAAATTTCTCGTGTAGTAATGGCTGGCTCGGCTTTAAAAAGATTGATGGCAGAATACAAACGTAAGTAAAACTAGAGATCTAGACTATTCTTATTCTAGACTCAAGTCTAAATCTAGTCTAGAATCTAGATTCTAGATCTAGACCTCTCTACTATCTAGATCTAGAATCTAGGACTAGACTAGAGTGTAGGCCTAGATCTAGAAATCTAGTTCTAGAATCTAACTACTACTAGATCTAGATCTAGAATCTAGATAGTAGAGCTAGATCTAAAATCTAGATCTAAGAGAGAAATGTGAAGTCAGTGAGCAGTGTGTTTCTTACAGTACTCTTACAGACTTTTTTCTCGGGGAGGGGATTGTGTGGGAGGTCTACATTTCCGGGGGGGGGGGGGGGGGGGGGCGGTAAACTTTTTTCGGGGGAGGGGGGGGCCGAAGAGATGCATGGAAGAAACTCTGTCAGTGAACTAGATCTAGATCTAGAATCTAGAAGCTTGTCTAACTAAAGTCTTACTAAGAAATATAAGCCACTAATGACAATAATGACTAAGGAAGATCCTATGTTGGTAAATATTGCACTTAAATCTGCAATTTTTTTTACCCCACGCGAATTCCAACATGCTGATGATTTACACACACTAGTCACTAGATCTATCTAGAATCTATCTAGATTTCTAGATGCAGACTTACTATAGATCTAGATCTGGGGACGAAGTGGTCTACGGTAGAGAGCTGGACTGCTAACCCGTAAGTCTTGAGTTCAAATCCGGGTTGAAGCCAGTGGACCGTCCCTGAGTCCACCCAACTCTGATGAGTACCTAACTCACATAGGGAAAGTAAAGGCGGCTGGGCATAGTGCTGACCACACTTTCTCTTCATATGCCGAGGTCACAGAAACAGGTGAACTCTACTTCACTTGCCCTATAGACCGTCAGGTTTGAAAAGGGAACTTTACTTTTAAATCTAGATCTAAATTTTAAACGCTTCGAGTTGTTATTGTTATAATTAATATAATGTGGCTGCTCGCTCATACCCATTTGAAGTTCACAGAATCTGATATTCCAATTGCAGCTGAAATTCCACGATGATTTAACTTTTTTCTATTGTGTCAAAGCAGCCCAAACTAGGGCCTTCCATATTTTGTATATAGATCTAAATGTGTTCATTTAGGTTGTCATAAAAATAACATTTTTCGCCACATTTATGTTTTTCAGAACTAACACTGAATCCCCCTGAAGGTATCATAGCAGGCCCAGTGGACGAAGAGAACTTTTTTGAATGGGAGGCCCTTATAATGTATGGTATTACTAACATTTTTTTTGTTTCTCTGCTTCCTGTTAGAGTTAACTATAAAATCAAGATGTGGGATGGCGTGGTCATAAGTTAGAGTATGCAACTGCTAACCCAGAAGTCTCAAAGGGCCAAGTCTGTAGAATGTCATTGAGTCCACCCAGCTATAATGGGTACCTGGCTATCTTTAAGGAAAGTAAGACTGCTGGGCATAGTGCTGGCTGCACTGCTGAGGTAACAGAAACAGGTGAACTCTACTTCTCCTGTGCTATGGAAAGGTTAAATGAGGAGAATAAAACCAATATATTGTTATTTAATGTTTTATGTTCTCTTTATCAAGCTAGTCGCAGAATAGCTCACCACATTGTTATCTTACATTTAGCTTTTTTCAAGAGGCCCTATTGTTGTTTTTTTCTTGGTTGAGCAAGTTTATTGTTTTCTTTGTTTTTTATTATTTCAGAAACATTTAGGCCTGATCTATACATTTATTCACTCTTTGTGCATATTTAAAAGATGTAGGCTGTTACCATGCTTACATGATAAAAATCTATGAGAATAGTAAATTTTAGTAATATCATGTTTTTTTCCTGTTAGGGAAAGTAAATGCTACTGTGCATAGTGCTGACCACACCATCCCTTAAAAACTAAGTTAGAGAAACAGATACTTTACTTTATCTGCATTATGGCCTATACTTCCCTTTTACAAAGCATTTCTAGTAATTGTCTTAAAAATGTTTAATGTATTTTTGTATTTAAATCGTGCAGGGGACCACAAGACACCTGCTTTGAAGGGGGAGTTTTTCCTGCTCGTCTTACTTTCCCCCCAGACTACCCTCTGAGTCCTCCAAAAATGAAGTTCAACTGTGAAATATTTCATCCAAATAGTATGTTTTATGACAGTGTTTATAAAATTAAATTCACTTGATTACTTGTTCCCAATGTTAAAAAAAAAATGGTGCTGGGTATTCTAGTTTATTTTATCATAGAAAGTTTCTTGTAAAGTATTATTCTCTGTCGTCATATGCAGCGTTATAATAAGTCATAAGGTCACCTTAAGCTACTGGCCTCTGTTTCTATTTTTATTCATCACTAACCCTTCCTAGAGGTGTGAATTTTATTTAAATATCACAATTTAATTACCTACTAGATTTTAATGTAATTAAACTTGAAACAGAGGGACTTCTGTTTAAATATATACATTTTTTATACACGTAAAGAGTTTGTCCCTTGTTAAAGATAGTCCATGTTTATAAGTCTCTGGTGTGAATTTTATTTAAATATCCCAATTCAATTACCTACTAAATGTAATTTAATTTAAAACAGGGGGACTACTGCTTAAATACATACATTTTGTACACACGTTAAAAATTTGTCCCTTGTTAAAGAAAGTCCATGTTCCTTAGTCTCTAGTGTGAATTTTATTTAAATATTACAATTTACCTACTAAATGTAATTTTATTTTAAACAGAGGGACTACGGTTTAAATATATACATTTTTGTACACGTTAAAAGTTTGTCCCTTGTAAAAGATAGTTCATGTTCATAAGTCTCTCTCTGTTTTAGTCTACCCAGATGGGCGGGTGTGTATTTCTATTCTGCATGCACCTGGTGATGATCCCATGGGCTATGAAACCAGTGCTGAGAGGTGGAGTCCAGTTCAGAGTGTGGAGAAAATTTTACTGTCAGTTGTCAGCATGCTAGCAGGTATGTATTGCTCGTTTGATTTTGTTATGAGATGTTTTGTTTGTGATACCAATTTGATGTAAGCTTAAGGCGTATTCAGAATAATATGATTAATTTTAACTACTTCCCAACATACAATGTCTTTTTATCTTTTTGAACTGATTAGTTACTTTCTGTAAAGTCTATCTATATATATATATAATTCTCTACATGGGGACCATGCGAGACACCACCAAGACTATAGCGCTACCACCCCCACCAGTCTGGTGAGCTGTTTACAATCGTAGTGACGGTTATTAGGGGCAGATAATTTAGTTTTTAAACTATTTGAAACTAAGGGGAGGTAATAACATTTTCTGCTTGCTCTTTTCATTGTCGTCTGTAAACTGTCGTCACAGACGGCTGCTTTCATGGAGCGGAGTGGGGGGGGGGGGGGGTAGAAGAGAGGAGTGGTAAGTGAGGGTGAGGATAATCGTCCTTCACTAGCTACTGATAGTGTTTTAAAGCAAAATATTTTCAGTCATAGCATTGTTAGTGTCAAATTCACAAATTATGAATTACTGAAAAATAGTAATCAAACTAAATAGCAGTGTATGCTACGTCGCAGGTCAGCTCATTTACTATATTCCTTTACTCAAAGTTTTAGCTAGTTAAAATTTTACTTGAATATTATCATTTGATCCTCTAAAATGTGTTTATTTCGATAAGTGCTGTATCATCAGCATCATCTTTTCCCATTCATGCCCAGGACACATGGGGCTAATAAAATAGATTTCATCTGTTTGAACAACCACAGAATTTTGGGGATGGTGTGGTCAGCACTACTTCCAGCCATCTCAGTTTCCCTAACATGAGTCAGTTACCTATCTGAGCTGGGTGTATTCAGAAATATCCTACAGATACACATCCAGGTCCGAACTCAAGACTTTTGGGCTAGCAGTTGTGAGCTGCACCAAATGACCATTTCGTCCCTATATTAATTAAAGCCATGTGAAGATATATTTGTTTTATATGTTGTTGCACATCTGGATATAAGCCATGTCCATTTGATTGTAATTACCCATACTTCAGTTTTCAATATTTACATTTTTCTACATGAACAGCCATATGATAAAGTGCTACCAATGTTGATATCATTTTGATATCTGCTTAAATCCTATTCAGAATAAAATTATTAATTTTAACTGCTTCTCAATTTACAATGTCTTTTATGACTTTAAACTTGCTAGTTACTTCATTGTAAAGTCCATAGATCTTCACTCAAAGTTTTGTCTAGTTTGAATGTTATTTGAATATTATAATTTGATCCTCTAAAATGATTTATTTTAATAATTTCTAGAATAATTCATCATCTTCTCCCATTCTTGCCCAAAATATGTTTTATATAATTGTTGCACGTTTGGATTTAGGTCATGTCCTTTTGATTGTAATTACCCATACATCAGGTTTCAATTTTAAATTTTTTCCTACATTTAGGGCCATATATGAAAGTGCTGCCAAAACACATTTTGATTTAGGTTATGTCCTTTTGATTTTAATTACCCATTCATCAATTTTCAATTTAAAAATTGTTCCTACATTTAGAGCCGAATGATGAAAGTGCTGCCAATGTTGACGCTGCCAAAACGTGGCGAGACGACAGGAAAGGTTTTGAAGAAATCGCCAAAGTGACAGTGAGGAAATCTCTGGGGTTGTGATGACTTGTTCAGAGTGTAGACTATTTATTCTGGATTACCTTGCTGGGATGGTACAAGACCAGGCTGAACTAGTTCTTTCTTCCTTGCTCGTCCACTGGCCACTAAGCAAATAACTAATGACTAGTTAATGTTCAACCAGTGCGATGATATAATTCCACTCTGTTCCCGTTTTCAACCATCCACATTTAATACATTTTAAGAGGATTATCATTCTGATAATTTAGGTAACTGCAACTCATTTGACAACTTATTTTTTTCATAACTGTTTTTTCTATTAAAAAAAAATAATGAAAGTTTTATAGTTAAAAATGTTTAAATATATTGTTTCTGATAATATTGTTAAACTAATTTGTGACTGCTATAAATCTTTGAAATATTATTCAGTTATTTTGTTTTTAAACAAAAGTAAAATGTAGTTAAAATCCATAAATGAGAAGTTTCTGTAACACAGCAACTGGAAACCATTCTTTAAGGTTTTTATGTTTATTTGCAACAATTTTTTTTAAACTATTACTATCTGCTATTTTCATTTACTTTATTCATCAATTTCCAAACTGTGGTTGAGTAGGTGCAGACTAGTCAAAAAGGTGACTAGAAAAAGTCAACAGAAATGTAGAATGTGAAAATGCATTGATTTAAAGTAAAAAATATATTAATTATTAATAGTAAAAAAATGTGTAAGACAAAAAATCTCAGAAACTATATATAAGAGTTTGTAAATTGCAAATTATCATTTGACTCCAGTTTTAATCATAAAACTCTTTGCTTTATTAAATACATACTTAGTAGACTAAAAATGTTCAATGGTATTTGCATATATACTTTAATTAGCAGTTTTTGTTTTCATTTTACCAATGTATTTTTAACTAATCTCTGTGCCATTTAATCTAAATTAACAATACAGTGTAAATACTAGGTCAAGGATTCAATGGATTTTTGTTTTTTTAAATGAGCACAGTGACAAAGTTTGATAACTGCTGACATAACTGATGTGGAACCAATTACTTGAGTAGCTTCCACTTTTTTAAGTTTTTTATCAATTAGAACTGACTCATAATATAAAACCTTACTATTGGCTTTTCAATTTTTAAAATCTCATGATTGTAACTGGTGGACAGATTTTGATTATTTCATAATTTAGCTGATGTTGAAGCATTAAATCTATCACTAGAACTTATTTTGCGCCTGTAAGACAATTTTAACATTTTTATTCAAGATTTGAGTGCATATAAACTAGGTTATGTAGGGTTAATTTTAGTAACATTTTCACCTATACTTTTAACTCAAAAACACCTGGCCATCCTACTGCAATTTTTAAACACAAAAATACTATCTTTTTAACTATGGACATTTGCTAGGCATGGTTTAAATAAATACATTTTTGTCTTGTTTTAAGCAGATTAATTTAAATTATGTTGCCCAAAAATCTATTTGGTAAATTATAATTTTGTCATCAATTCTAATCAGTTTCATATTATTCAAAATAAGCTTAGCATTTATTTTTTCAATTGTTTTAACAGTATATTATCATTTGTAATAGCTCTTATTGTTTACTATTATTAAAGTATTTTATTTGCACAAGATTCCAACAGTAAGAAAATTGTAAGTATGTGCTTGGAGCCATACTATAGGACTAGCCTCTCCCAAATGAAGTTTACGTATGGTCCCCAAATATTTTTTTTTATTTTAACTTTTTTTTTTCTGATTACTTTTGTTTTTAGCGGCTTTGACAGAAACAAAATATAAGTTGATTCTGTTGCAGTTAAAATTAAATTCTTCCTTGTTGAGTATAGTGGGCATTTTGTTTTTGTAATTGGAAACCTATATCAACTTAAAGCAATAGAATGACTTAATGGGATTTGTTTATGTGTAATGTCTGATTTCTCATTCATTCAGTAGTTAAGTTAGTTTAGATTTTGAAGTTCACAGAATTCTTGTTGTTTGACAAGTTCTGTAGTGTCAAGTTTACTGTGTCTCAACAACTTTACCCTCCTGCTGTTGTCTGTCATTAGACAAGTCCATCATAAGACAACAGACTTCATGCTTTCTTTTAATATAAATTTGACTATAGCTCTTGGTCCTTCTCTGTTAATCATTGCTCTCTAGTGATACAGGATATTTTACTGGTATTGTGTGTTTGATGGGGAGTTACCTAATGCCCTAAAACAGATTTTCACAGACTGATCTGATGATCCCAGTCTTTAAGTCATTGACATTTTTAGTTCTTCAAGATTTTCTCTCTTTACTTCTTGTCATCAAATTTGGTAAATTTTAGCTAGTTTAGACTAGCAATAAAACCATCTAAAATTCTTTGTGATGTTTATTTGTTCTTTAAGATATTTTTGGCTTACTTTTGCGTGTTAAATTCAGTAAATTTTAAATTAGCGTAGACTACAATGTCTGATTAAACCTCAGCTTTCATTACAGTAATTTCATTTGTCAGTGCTAGTTCATAAGTTTTGTTTTGATATATTATTTTATCCTAATTTAAAATTTGCATATATCATGTTATGTGACCAGTGGTGTTGGCAGGACTTAGTCATGGGGTGTTATATATATATATATATATATATATATATATATATATATATATATATATATATATATATATATATATATATATATATATATATATATATATACACACACACAATTTTTCCTCCTATGTAGACTATATGTAATAGTAATAGTGTTTACACAAACATGCATAAATATTTCATGTTGATTTTAAACTTGTAAAATTGTGGATTTATGAAATTGTAGACATAAAAATATAAGAACGCACGGTAGCAAACTGTAAGTTTGTAACTCCATTTTTTTCCCACAAGATTAAAATAACCACAGTTTACTGAATGAATATGGGAATGACTTGGTCAAACTAAGCACTGGTTTGTTTGCATCTACGTTATATAATATGTTATATTAAATGTTTCTGATGAAATTTTAATGTTGACATTCATGTAATGATGGTATTATTATCAATAAATGTTTATATTTCTGTGGCTTTTCAAGTTTTGTATAAAATATAAATAAGCAAACCATAATGGAAATTAATAAAACACATTTGTTATTCACATGTTCAAATATTTAAGTACTAATTCATAAATCAATGATTGAAATCTTTGACCCATTCATAAGAGATTACACAATTTTTAGTAACCAGTCATCAAACATTTGATGAGGTATATCGGGAGACCAGTAAATTCTTATGTGGGGTGGGGGTGGTTTTGTCAGTTTTAAGTCTTACTGTAGGAAATCAGGTTTTAAGAATTCATATTAAATTTAGATGCAGGGAGGCTCTTCAATCACCTAGCTTGAGCACATTGCCATATTGTTTCCTCGCCATTAGAATAACCACTGTTTATTGCATCCATCCCCACTGGTTATAATCCATCCCACCTCCAACTGGTTACATCACCCTTTCATTGTTTACACCACACCCTCCCAGCATGCAATACCCTTCTCCCAACTGGTTACCCCAAAGGCAACACCACCCACCCTACTGGTTACCCCACCCCCTCCCCACATGCAACACCTCCCCCTCTCTACTGGTTACCCCACCCCTTCCCCCACATTCAACACCTCCCCCTCCCTACTGGTTACCCTTCCCCCACATTCAACATCTCCCCTCCCTACAGGTTACCCCCTTCCTACTGGTTACCCCACCCCTTCCCCCACATTCAACACCTCCCCCTCCCTACTGGTTACCCTTCCCCCACATTCAACATCTCCCCTCCGTACTGGTTACCCCACCCCTTCACCCACATTCAACACCTCCCCCTCCCTACTGGTTACCCTTCCCCCACATTCAACATCTCCCCTCCCTACAGGTTACCCCCTTCCTACTGGTTACCCCACCCCTTCCCCCACATTCAACACCTCCCCCTCCCTACTGGTTACCCTTCCCCCACATTCAACATCTCCCCTCCGTACTGGTTACCCCACCCCTTCCCCCACATTCAACACTTCCCCCTCCCTACTGGTTACCCCACCCCTTCCCCCACATTCAACACCTCCCCCTCTCTACTGGTTACCCCACCCCTTCCCCCACATTCAACACTTCCCCCTCCCTACTGGTTACCCCACCCCTTCCCCCACATTCAACACCTCCCCCTCCCTACTGGTTACCCCCTTCCTACTGGTTACCCCACCCCTTCCCCCACATTCAACACCTCCCCCTCCCTACTTGTTACTCAACCCCCTCCCCGCATGCAACACCCCCTCCCTACTGGTTACCCCACCCCCTCCCCACACGCAACACCCCCCTCCCTACTTGTTACTCAACCCCCTCCCCACATGCAACACCCCCCTCCCTACTTGTTACTCAACCCCCTCCCCGCTTGCAACACCCCCTCCCCACATGCTAACCACCTACACCACCCTTCCGTACTGGTTACACCCCCTCTCCCCCACCTATCCCCCACCCCTCCACTCTGCTAATACCTACCTGTACATGTCCTTTCATGTAGCAACCAGTCAGGCTGGGTGATATGAATTAATCAAGAAAGTTCCACATGAACGGTTGGCATTATTTGACTTCTTTATATACCAGTAAACGGAATGTGTCTTGTGGGTGGTGGAAGTCGGTGCAGAGACACGTCAATGGCGTATAGGGCGTACAGCGTTATGGGAGGGGGGTATGTTCCACTTTATAGCAAGTTTTGAATGTGTGTCTTGAAAGTGTATAAATGAGAGGAGTCTATTGACAATGTGTGTTGCATGTTTAAGGGTGGACCGTAACTGATATGGGCAGTGTTTCTTTTACACTGGGGAGGCATTACACACTTTCGGAGGGGAAGGGGCGGACAAAAAAAAATTCCAGGTGAGGGGGGCGGACACTGGTAAAGAAATATTTTCTATATAGATCTATTTCGTTCGGTGGGGGGAGAGGGCAGTAGGCGGGGTGGGGAGGGGGTAAAGCGATGACTGAAAGAAATACTGGATATGGGGTTAAAGGGGGGGGGGGGATTTTTCTGTTAAAAATCAATTGTTGCTAATTGTTAGATAAACTCTTAAGTCGAGTCTTACAGGTTTTCGTGCTGCCGTCGGCGATGTAGCATAGGATATATAAAAAGTTGCTGTAAACATTGATACGTTATACGAGGAGAACTTTGGAGCCAGGATCAGTCAAACAAAGAGACAGACGGGCTTGTGAATGAATCGAGTCAAATCTAATCTGCCCTAGTTAAATTATAACATGTTAAAACAGGCAGTAGAAATTAATTATTTTTTTTATG